AGTTTTAGATCATAAAAAGTAGGTTCTTATTTGACAAATTCCAAATCGAATATTTCAAAGTGAAATATCCAAATAACCTTAAATAAGCAAAAAAACCCAAAAAACAGTTTTCGGGGAAAGTTCATGAAAACTTTTAAAAATGTTTAAAAAAAACTTAATTTGTGTTTTTTTAAACAGGTTTCTAACCAAAATAAATTTGGTCCCTTTTTTTGGTAAAAACATCGTAAAAATCGCCTCCTAATCAGAACTTCAATTAAAATTAATCGTTACCGCTATATAATTTACTTATGTATTGTTTATATGATCTGTAAGTTTGGCCGGGTAAAAGTGTTTTATTTAAAAAAAAATGGGTCTTAAATTAAAAGAAATATTTTTGAAATTTTGAAAAAAACAATGCATTTTTTTTTAAATAACTTAAAACGTATTAAGTAGTGATACGAAAAATCTTGAGAAGTAAAAAATATAGGTTTTGCTTTTCTGAACATTTTGGTTTTTTGGTTAAGATATTTCTGAACAAAGTATGTACCACCGTTTTAAAAATAAGGGTTTAAAATATTAATTTAAAATTTAAATGATCATATTGACCTTAAAAAGAAACTACAAAAATTTTTTTGTGTACTAAATAGAAAAGCTAACCGAGTTACGAGTAAAAAAAACAATCACATATTTTAGGAGATATCAGAACGCGTATACTGAAGCATTGTAAGATACACATATAATGGGCTATTAAGGCATAGAAAACAAAAAAAAAATGTTAAATTTATTAATGTTTTTTATTTTGAGAACGATTTCCAAAGTGGAAATTAAAACGTCAAAAATAAACTTAACAAAAAATTTTTAAACTTAAATTGTGGGTATTCCCAATAAAAAATAATAATTGCATTAAGATGCCACAAGATATCTTCAGAACAATAATAAATAATAAATAACAATAAATATTTAGTTATTTTATGTACGATTTTGATGGCACAGCTAAAATGATGCAAACTTTCAAACAAGAAAATTAATCAAGAAAACAAACTCGATGCATTGAAAAATATTGCTAATATTTTGTAAATCGTCCTACATTATTAATTACAGCCTGTAGTCGTCTAGGAGTTGATTCGACCAACTTTCTAGAGTACTCTGGGGAAATTGTGTCCCAAGCTTCAGTAATTTTTACTTTCAATTAATTTCTATTTGATATTGGGGTACTATTTGCTTTATTTTTTATTGCCAACCACAAATTTTCAGTACCACTCAAATCTGGTGACTGAGTTAATGACATTTCGGCGATTATAAAGCAACCAAGTACGAACCCGATATGACATGTATTTTGGATCGTTGTCCTGAAAAAACCGGTAATTGGTATTGATACCTAATTTTTGAGCACTAGCGGCGAGATGCTGCCTATCCAAATACAGACACTGGTTCATATTTCCTTTAAAAAAATGCATGTTACCTACTCCTGCGAACGATAGACACCCACACATGATGACCACACCTTCACCGTGAGTTACCATAGCTTTCATATTTTTAAATTTTAGTTCTTCATTCGGAAACATATCCCACACCGATATGTTTTCATCAAACAAGTTTATTTTGGTTTTATCAGCAAATATTACTGAATTCTAAAATCTCAAATCTTTATATGTCTGTTTCTTTGGCTAATAAAAAAAGGTTTATTTCTAGCAGTTCGACCATGTAGATTATTTTTTCGTAATATCCATCTAATTGTTTCGGGGTTACATCTTTTTCCAAACTGTCTTTCCACCTTATCTCACCATTTTTTCACGTTCGGTAAAAATCTTATATGGAGCTAACTTTGATTTATTGTCAACTCTACTTTAATTTGGGTAACGTTCCACTTTGGATATATTAATTTCTATGGTAAGTAATAATTAAATTTCTTTCACTACTCGTAGTTCGGCGACCCACTCCTAAATAATTTTGTTATTTGTCGATTAAATACTTTAAAATGTCAAATTAAACATAAAATAAATTGCAATATAAATTTATTGGAACGCCTACTTCGCAAATTTCAAATTGATAAATTGTGTAATGGTTCATTTCATGTAGATAGCTTATCTGCATCATTTTAGCTGTGACATAAAATAATTAAATATTTATTGTAATTTAAGTCTGGTATATTAGAAACCCAAAAAATAGCTAATGCTACTGTAGAAGACTTATAGTAATTTAATTTCAGTATGTAATTTTGTTCTAATAAATATTAAGCCACTGACACGAGCTAGTTTCATTGAGTACCGACTGCATCATTTAAGCTGTGAGCCACTATGAGGAACAACTAACTACCTACTTGTAGACAGGTAACTGAGGCTTAATATATGGTAATACCTCCAAATTTTTTATAACTGCATCGATTTCTTTGAAAATTTCAAATTAAGCTTATTTTATTGTAATGTGTTCTGTAATATTGTAATGTGTTCTCTAATATGAAAATTAATTATTCACAATTTTCAACCCTTAAAACCCTTTAAAAACACTTAAAAGCTAATACTTACTTTTTATGAAAATAATATGAAAAAAAAGTCGTAGCAGCTTGAGACATTGCAATTATGTATTTAAATACAAATAAAAATTAATACCCTAGCTATACAATACTATTTTATTTATTGGAAATTTTCAACCCTTACAACCACCCTTATGAAAAAAATGATTTAAAAATGAATTAAAAAATATTTTTATTTTTTTCACAACCAACACTTTTTCACAAAATTAATTTAATATATTTTTATTGGTCTGAAACATTTCTTAAGTGCATTTTATTAAACAAAAATTAATTTCTTGCTTATAAAATGACATTTTATTATAATTTCAACATTTCAACCCTCACAACCACCCCCTTTGTCAAAAATGAATTAAAAAATATTTTTAACGATTTGAAACATTTTTAGAGTGCATTGTTTGTAGACAAAAATTAATTTTTTACTTATAAAATGAACCTACTTTTTTCAAACCTTACAAGCACCTCTTTTGATGAAAATAAAATCCTTAAATCCTTAACTTAGACATGGAGATAAATAGAAAAAATTTAGTTTATAATATATTGCAATTTTTTTATTTTCCAAACAACTAAAAATAATTAATATTTATATAAAACGAGGTATAAAATAAATGAATATCTATTCATTATCGGAATCATAATTTTCATCGTCCAATTGGTCTTCGTTTACTGGAGGACAATTTTGGCAATTATCACCACAGCATGTTACAAGCGTCTATTCATACCTTGTTATAATTCGTCTTCGATGCTAGCGCATCCATGTAATGTCAAATATTTTATTAGGTTATACCAGATTTGATTGGTTAATATTTTGAAATTACAAGCTACTTAATGATTTCATTCGTTTAAATCAGAGTCAGAACGATATTGATAGAAAATATGCGATTAAAATATTGCCTAGATTTTACTAGAAAACTTCAATTGCGATTTCCGCAAGTGGTGTGGTCCTTAAGTAATAATTGTACAAAAAGTAGCCGTAGATTCTACACTTTAAAATATTACGATTTAGCCAAATTGCTTTAATAAAATGTTGATATTAAGAAAGATACAGGGTGTTAAAGTGAAAATTTAAAATTCTAATTTTCGCTTAAGTATAACTTTCATGTTTGTGAACATTTATGTATCAAAATTTATAACTGGGTACTATTGAATATCAGAAATTATAATTTGACCCATATTTTTATGTAGCCGATACAGCGCCACATATGCCAGATATGTTGCATATATTTGCACTTAACTTTTTTGCTCTTTAAGTTACCGGTGTTTGTGATAAAAAATATTAAAGATACATTATTTTAACAAAAAAAAAGTATAAATACTCGTATTGAAAGACAAAAACAAATATTTGAACAGCCATAGCCTTTTCATAAAAAGCCAATCTTCTTGTTTTTTTATGAGCTTAAATTCTAGTCGTTACGCTTTTTTTTTTGATAAAACTCTTAGTTTCGGAGCTATTCGTAAAAATCCTTTGAAAAACATGTTTTTTTTTAACGAAAAATGACACTTTTCACATTTTTTGTTTGAAATTTGTCCTTCTATCGAATAGCGTGGTTATTTTAAGTGAAAAAATTTCCACCCTCGAAAAGGGTTGGCAAACACCACCAGGGTGGAAGCGCACATCGGCACTATATAACTTTTGTTCCTTGAGTAATTATTTACCAACTAACAAAATTTCAAATGAATCGATACAGTTATGAAGAATTCTGAGGTAAAAACCCTCAGTAACTGGACTATTGGTATATAAGCAGCTGTATACCATGTATCACAATTTTTTTTAATTATATACGTTTTATAAAGGATTAATTTTTTTTTTAATTACTCGTTTTAATAAATGTGGCATTTTAGTCTCTTTTTGTGTATAAAATACATAATTAATTAGTGAATACAGGTGCTTTCATTAGTATGGAATCGGATTACACCTGGAAAGAATTTAAACAAAAGTAAGTATACTACTATTGTCGTAAAGCTTCTAAAAAATAATTGTTTTGGTACTAATTAACGTGTCTAAACGAAAATCATCCACTTCATTAAGGTCTTTTTAATATTTCCAACATTATGTACCTAAGTAATGTGTAATGTTTAAAGTCGGCTTTATAAAACTGCAAATTACCAATTTTCATGTTTAGTTCAAAAACAAATGTAAAATGTAGCTCTCATTACAATTAATTGTGGTCACAACATAAACATGACACAAGAAAAGAGTTTGAGAAATGTAATAACTGTTCTTAACTGTTTGTGAGTTCCATTTAGAAATAGAGTACCTATATCTATAAGTTATTGAACATTTGCAGATATTTGACAACGTTGTAATCAATTGCATCATTGCATCTCTATCTTAGGAAAACGTAAACATAACCTTCATTTTATTAACATGGTATAATATGAAATTCTTCTACATAACTTAGACTCTATGATAAAAGTAGGCATCACATACATTTTATGATATAATTTAGATAGACTTTTATTTTCTCTATGTTTAAACTACATTACTTACCAAATCTAAATTTTTCCTGATTTCTAACTATAGCAACAGAATTCCCCGCCTGATCTTTATTTAAGAGATCCTCTTGTTCAAATTGTTCAATCGGTGCTGCAGAACTCATTTTTCAAATTTTTTGCTTTTTCTATGCAATATAACCACTGTCACAATTTACACACTGGGTTAACAATATAAACTATATAATATTATTAGACACAATTTTTACTTTGAATGAAAAACTGTCCGCCACATCTGCTTATTTGGAAAATATCAAACAAATATATTTGTATTCATCATTTTAAGTCAGAAGAAATGTATATTTATTTCTGAAATACACGCCTTTTCATTTTAACGCCACCGCATACCGCAAGGAAGTTGAATGAATATTATCGGTATCGGAGTATCAGAGTCGGAGTCGTCCAAACATTTCAGTTTAACGGTTGACGGGTAGCAGCGGGTAGCGTAGTAAGCGTAAATGAAATTACATTATAGAAGTGCGTACGCATCTTTACAGAAAGAGATAAATATGTTAGTACGGGTGCTGGGTGCTCACCGGTTTTTCATCAGTAGTCGTCCCTATTTAAATTCAGCTTTTATGATTAACCTAATAGTAGGGAAAATCGCCACTTATTCTTTTTATTTAACTTTAAATAGAACGATTTTAATCGCACTAGACGAAAAGCTAGAAATTAAAAATGTACTTTTATATAAATTTGTAGAAAATTATCAAAAAAGTTTCATAAAAAGCAAAAGAACTTTTAATATAGCGCTCAAGATTAATTTAAATCAATATTTTTATGTATTTTTTAAATGGTGTTCTTAATTGCATTTATATAAGCAATATATTGAGCGTTATTCATAAATTACACGAAAGAATAATAGTATATAATTTTCTACTTAAGAATTATACTTACGTTGGGACTTATTTAGGTACTCCCGCGAATGAGTTTGTTACCAGAGAGTTACAATCAATTTAAAAAAAGTACCATGTTTATGACACTGAACCGGCCAGGCAAACGACAGTTGTTTTAAGTAGTATGAACCTCTGTAACAAAAACCTATAATAATATGTTTCCTGCAGTCGATTTGTTGGACTTTATTAGTTTATAAGAGGAAATTAAAATGGCAATAAAAAACAGCAAAAATGGTAAAGCATTAGGTCCAGGCGAAATCCCTATAGATATCTTGAAATGCCTGAATGATGAAGCCTTAGACATTATAGTAGACTTATTTAACTCAGTATACAAAACAGGACACATACCGAAACAATGGTTACTCTCCACCTTTTGTGCTATCCCTAAAAATACAAACGCTAAATATTGCAGTGAATACAGAACAATATCACCAATAAGTCACATTCTCAAATTATTCCTGAAAATAATACATGGTCGTATAAATAAAAAGCTGGAAGAAGGAATAGATGATAGTCAGTTTGGGTTCAGAAACGGACTAGGAACCAGAGAAGCGTTATTTGCTTTTAATGTGTTAGCTCAAAGATGCATGAATATGAATGTTGATGTGCATGTTTGTTACGTTGATTTTGAAAACGCATTTGACAAAGTAAGACATAAAAAATTAGTCCAAATTCTAAAGACAAAAAACATAGACCACAGGGACTTACGAATAATAACAAGCCTCTACTGGAATCAAAGAGCACAATTCGTAGTAGATAACGAACCCAGTCCAGAAATTGAAATCAGGAGAGGAGTTAGGCAGTGATGTATTATGTCCCCATTACTATTTAATGTATATAGTGAAGCCATTTTTGCAGAAGCATTACTATCTCAAAGTGAAGGAATAATAATTAACGGAAGATCTATTAACAACATAAGATATGCAGATGACACCGTGATTATGGCAAACTCTGCTGAACAACTCCAATTACTGCTAAACAAAACAAACAGTTTTTGTGAATAATATGGACTAAAAATGAATATAAAAAAGACCAAATACATGATAATAACAAAGAAAACAAATATACCAACAAACATACATTTGGGAAATGTACCGATAGAAATTGTTGATAAATACAAATACCTTGGAACCTGGATTTCGAACAATAATGATCAAACAACCGAAATAAGAGCAAGGATAGAAATAGCAAGAAATGCGTTTGTAAAAATGAAAACAATTCTCTGTAACAAAGATCTTAGATTAGAACTGAGAGTAAGAGCACTGAGATGCTACGTGTTTTCGATACTGAAATATGGACTTGAAAGCTGGACATTGAAGCAATAACACATAAATAAGTTACAGTCTTTTAAAATGTGGTGTTACAGGAGGATGCTTAGAATAGCATGGACACAGAAGAAAACTAACACGGAATTATTGCGAGAAATGGGCAAAGAATGCGAAATAATAAACACGATAAAAATAAGAAAGTTACAATATCTGGGACATGTAATGAGGGGACAGCGATATGAACTGCTAAGGCTAATAAAACAGGGAAAGATAAGAGGTGGAAGGAGTATAGGAAGAAGGAGAGTGTCATGGTTGAAAAATTTAACGGACTGGTTTAAATTCAGTTCTATAGAACTCTTTAGAGCAGCAGTAGATAAAGTAAAGATAGTGATGATGATACCCAACCTCCGATTGGGAGACGGCACTTAAAAAAGAAGAAATGTTTTTTTTTAATGAACTTAAAATATTCATATTACATGGAGTGATGGGCCTTGAAGTGCTAAAAATATGATTAAAATTTAAAAGTGATCGGTCAAATTGTTCAAAACTTATTTTTTTCCATAGCTATGGTCTGTTTTTTAACCAGGAGGAGTAATTCAAATTTTTCGCGCCATAATGCTTGTTTGTAATTGGTCCAAGCGCAGGCAAGTTTACTCCACTAAATTATGACATATTGACACTAATGACATTTGTGAAATTTTAAAATTCTAAATTTATATTGACGATTTTTTGTATTTTCTGCGTTATTCCTTACATTCATAGATTTTTCGTTTGCATTTATATAAAGAACAGTTCTTTTCAGAACTATTTAATGTTATTAAGATAACAATATGGATTCAATGCCAAGTACTAGTGGTAATTATTCTTCTCCACCTTAAAAACGCCGAGTAGATTTGGGTCATTTATCAACAAATAAGAAACAATGTATTATAAACATGTATAAAAAAATGAAAATTGATAATTCTGGATTGAAAATAACAGCCACGGTAGCAAAATTAAACAGGCAGCAGGTTAGTTTTGCAGATTAGTTATTATTAAAGACTTACTAAAGTAATTTGCTAATTTTAGGTGTTGCGAATTCAACTATTTACCAAACAATTAAAGAATATAAGCAGACTGGTGATATGCGAATATTATTTAATGTGATATTTTTATAGATGATATTTATACTAAATATTGTTTAAAGTGTTTATAAATTTATAAATGTATGTTATTTACATCTAATTATCATAATAAAAACGGCAACTATCTTTTAAATTTAGTGTACACTTGTTACGAAGCATTTTCATTTTGTTTTCATCACAATTAAAGAACATTAGTAAAGTAATGTTGTGTTTTAGTTTGATTGTATTGATACAGTTGGTTTTGTTCTTCCTGGTTGTAGATAATCACAAGAAAACTGCAAAATTATGCTTGAATGTAACATAATAGATTGAATTTGTTAATTTTAGTCAATATTATTTATTGATAACAAATGTTACAAACTCAAGAATCCAAAACAAGAATACAGCATTAAAAAATTGCAAGTATATACACACTTATTTATACAAAGTATCTTTTTGCATTATAGTGCTTCAAATAGAACCTAAAGATATTGATACATAAGTTGAACAAATTTATCTAATGAGGTAACTGATTACCAAATAGGACCACACCTATATTTGAACCATAATTTATTCTGTGATGGGAAACATGAAAAAGTGAATTTTAAAGCAGTGAACGGGAAGGAGTATGTAAAACAAATATTCATGAGATTCGATTATTAAGCTTAAAAATAATGATCAGTCAAAGTTAACTCTTCTGGTAAGAAAAACAACCTATATTCAAGAAATTAATCACATCAGAATAAAAATATGGTCTTCTTTTTCTTCTTAAAGTGCCCTCTCCTCAATGGAGGTTGGCTACTACAATTTTAAACTCTTCTCTATCTTCAGCTGTTCTTATTAGCTGTTCAAAATTTAGCCCTGTCCATTGTCGGATGTTTCTGAGCCATGATAGTCTTTTCCTTCCTAGGCCTCTCTTTCCCTCGATTTTTCCTTTCACTATAAGTTGGGCATATTGGTACTTATTATTTCTCAGTATGTGGCCTAGGTATGATGTTTTTCTTACTTTTACTGTGTTAAAAAGTTCTCTTCCTTGCCTATTCTATGCAGCACTTCTTCGTTTGAGGTATGCGATGTCCATGAAATTTTGAGTATTCTCCGGTAGATCCACATTTCAAAGGCCTCCAATTTATTTACGGTTGATGTTTTAAGGGTCCACGTTTCAACTGCATATAGAAGAGTCGACCAGACGTAGCATTTTGATAAACGTAGTCGAATTTCGAGTTTTATTCGAGAATCACAAAGCAGTTTTTTTATTTTTTCGAAAGATTTTCTAGCCTGTTCTATTCTCGATCTTATTTCTTGATCAGGATTTAGGCTGCTATCGATCCAACATCCCAGGTACTTAAATCTATTGACCTGTTCTAAGATGTGCCCATTTATTGTGCAAGGTTGAGGTACGTTTTGGTTTTTTCGGATTGACATCACTTTGGTTTTTTTAATGTTTATTTTCATACCAAATTGCTCACAGGTCGAGTTGGTCTTGTCGATGAGTCGTTGTAGACCTGAGTCGGAATCCGCAATTAACACTGTATCATCGGCGTATCTGATACTGTTGATATTTACGCCATTCACCTTGACTCCATCCTTGGAATCCTCCAATGCTTCTTTAAATAGAAACTCGGAGTAAAGATTAAACAGCAGAGGCGACAGAACACATCCCTGTCTAACTCCCCTCCTAATTTCTACTTCTGCGGATGTGGAACCTTCGATCCTAACTCTGGCTTTTTGGTTCCAGTACAAGTTTTTTAAGAATTTGATGTCTTTTCCATCTAAACCGACTTCTTGCAAACGTTCTAATAGTAGGTCGTGTCTTACTCTATCAAATGCTTTTTCGAAGTCTATAAAGCATATAAATATATCTTTCTGTTGGTCGTAGCATTTTTGGGCGAGAACTAGTAAACTGAACAGGGCTTCTCTCGTTCCCATGCCGGCTCTGAATCCAAACTGATCGTCTCCGATGATTGTTTCGCACTTTCTATAGATACGATTATGTACGATTTTTAGTAGGACTTTTACAGCATGACTCATAAGGCTTATCAGACGGAACTCATTGCAGTGTTGTGGGTTTGGCTTTTTTGGTAGTGGGATGAATATTGACTCCAGCCAATCTTGGGGTATTTTACCTGTATCATAAATGCGATTGAATAAAAGGACAAATAATTCGATATTTTCTTCGCTGATTAATTTGAG